GAAGGTACATTGTTTCAATTTTCATGTCTTTATACTCCTGAACAAAATTGTTAAAAGGAAACATCAACACCTTTTAAATGTGGCTAGATCCTTGTTGTTTCAGTCCACAATGCCTATAGTTTTTTGGGGAGATTATATGTTGACTGCTACTCGCATCATAAATAGGATTCCTACCTTTACTTTACACAAGAAAAGCCCTTATCAAACTGAAACTGATTATAATCATTTCAAAAAATTTGGTTCTTTATATTATGCTAATACTCAAAAACATGAATGAGACAAATTTAGCCCTAGAGCTGGACCCACTGTGTTAATTGGTTATCCTCTTGGAGTAAAATGTTATAAATTGTACAGTCTTCAAACTAGGAAAATTATAGTTTCTAGGGATGTTATTTTTCATAAAGAAATTATGCTTTTTACTCTTCAACAAACCATATTTACATCTGACTGTAATCAAGATCAAGATCTTTTCGTGATATTTTTGTTTCTAGGCCTACAACATACCATTGTCTTGAGATCCACTTTTTTAATCTTGTTCTAAACATAAAATAAGATAATCATCCTCAACCTACTGGTGGGATTGAGCCTAATGACAATATTCAACATCCTATCTTACCACCTCATGATACTACAAGAAGATCTTCATGACAAATCAATTTTTCATCATATCTAAATGAATATCAAGTTTATATGCCCAACCTAGAATCCTCAAACTCCATATACCATTTTCTTTCCTATGATAAGCTATATGTGGGATACATAATTTTTGTTATGCAGTTCAATAACATTTACGAACCCACTTATTATCATCGGGCTATTAAATTCCTTGAATGGAAAGAAGCATTAGACAAAGAGTTAAAAGCCTTGGATATTAACAACACATGGGATATTGTTCCTTTACCAAAGGATAAGAAGGCTATAAGTTGTAAATAGATTTAGAAAGCAAAATATAATGTTGATGGTTCTTTAGCCAAAAGTAAAACTAGACTTGTTGTTCGTGGATTACATAAGAAGTAGGTATAGATTTTCTTGACACTTTTTTCCAGTTTCTACTATCACTACTGTCAGAGTTTTTTTTTTTTTTATCTCTTGCAGCCATTAAGCAGTGTAATTTTATACAACTAGGTGTCTAAAATGTGTTTTTGAATGGATATCTAGATGAAGAGGTTAAAATACCTCAGGGTTACAATTTAAAACATCATGATCAAAGTAACCTTGTGTGCAAATTGAATAGATCCTTATATGGCCTAAGACAAGCCTCACATCAGTGTTTTAAACATTTTTCCACATCCCTACAATCTCATGGATTTATTCAATGCATTAGTGATTATTCTCTTTTTTTATTTGGAAGTAAAAATACATTGTTTACTTGCTAGTGTACGTCAATAATATTATTCTTGCAGGGCTAAATTCAAATTCTTTAAACAGTTGTCAAATTCTTCTCCAAAATTTGTTCAAAATAACCATTGTGGGAGACTTGAAGTTCTTCCTTGGTTTGGACATTGCGAAATTAAAACAAGGCATTCACTTGTGTCAACAAAAATACATTCTACAACTTTTAGCTGACACAAGTTTCAAGAATGCTAAGCCTATTGCCATGAACTATGTTTACTACTTAAACTCTCATAAGGATTCATGTCATTTGTAGTTAATCTAATTCTCAAGTTTCTTAATTTCGTACAATTTCTGAAAATGTTTTATCAATTGTCTTCCATTGTGGAGAATCAATTGGATGTCAAAGAAAATGGTCACATTTTCTACCATTCGCATGTCATGTCAAGTTTCATGCATATTCTTTTATGACAAATAATCTTTTAAACTTAGGTATTATTGGCAAATACCATAGCACCTTAGCAGAGTGTCATTTATTTCTTCCTCACCACTACTTTCATCAACTTATGTTGGACATATCTTTAATGTAGCAAAATTATATTTGTATAATATGCAATCATTAGGACATACATGTATCTTCTTGTACTTTAAACTCATTAGACATTGTATCTTCTTTGTCTCATAGTTATGATTAGATAATGTGTTATCTTCGGGAAGCATCTCCTTCAACAACTCCAATAATTTGGTGAAACTTCTATCAGTTCATCAATTTTTTACTTTTAAACTGAACAATATTAAATTTGTTGATAATCTTGTAAAACTACATCTTGTATACAATTGTTGCTCAAAATCAGATTTCAAGGAATCATACAGATGTGTTTTCTTAACATTTTCTTTACTAATATCACATATCATATCCTTTAAATTATCATTCATCCCTTCTTCAAAATTTTTTCTTGTTGAGATGTTTAATATTTCTCTATGTCATATCCATATTGTATAACTCTTAACAATATCATAAACAAACAAATGATTACGTATATCCTCAAGTTCATGACGAATTTAATTCAAATAACAAATGCATAGACAATAATATGACGTGCATTCATTCAACTCCGATCCATACTTACCTATGTTATAAATTTTTGTCATTCCTAGAGATTCAAACACAAATTCATATTTTTAAAAAAGTTAATATACAAACAATAAAAAACATGAGATTTAAATAACTAAACTGTGAAAACATAAAAATATAGTGTATAAAACATAAATGCACTCAAACGAATAAACAGATAATAAAAAACTAAAATAATTCAATTTCAATAACAATCCAATTGAGATATTCATACAATAACGTGATTGAGATCTCTAAAAACAATCATGGATTCAATTTGAACTTAAAAGAGGAGATATAAAACCTAAAATATACAAAAAACGATCTAAAACTCAAATCTAATAAGAGAGAAACGTCAATCACCACAAATGAGACATAATGTAAGTATTTTCGTCGCTCCCCATAGTCAAATAGAATGGTTGTTGTCATAGTCATCCTTAAAAACCCTCATGAGTGCGAGGAAGAAAAAACACAAAATAAAATAAAATACGATTTTTAAGTTGGTTCCTATAAGATTCAAAATAAAAGTTAATGTCTCTTATTTATAAAAATATTACCCTTTTTTTTCAAGTAAGATATTACATATTATATATATATATATATATATATATATATATATATATATATATATATATATATATATATATATATATATATATATAATACTAGTGACATTACACATTTTATTTTGAGTACTCTATGTTTGAACCCGTAATTAATTACACGCGTAGGTGGTTTCTATTTTGATTGGAGGCCTACCAATTTGAAAATTTTATATAAATTGTGGTAACAGGAACCTAGAAACCGCGCGCAAAGTGTTAATAAAGAAAATGAATGTAATTGAATATAATCAACGTAAAAATAATCAAAATCTTAGTCGAACCTTGTTCTAGAAAAATATTACTTATTTTTTTAATAAATTAGATAACTTAAATATTGATGAATAAAAATTTTAATTTCATGTTAAGTATGCAAATGATGAATAACTTATAAATAAAAAATATTAAATTTTTTATATATAAAAAAATTATTAAGTTAATATTTAAAGATTTTGGATGGAAATTGATTCGTTTGGATCTATCATTAATACGCATAAATAAAAATCTATATAACTCTTAAATGTCATGTTTATCAAAATTGAACTTCTCATTTTAATTAATTGGTTTCCCTAAAAATCAGATGAACAATGAATCAATAAAAAATCGGATAAACAGGTGAAATTGGTCGGGTTAACGGGTCACTCATTTTTTTTTTGTAAAAAAAACTAAATGATGTTGTTTTGTCCTATATTTTTTTTTCTTTGTTTAGTTGAACACAAATACACACAAAAATGTGAAAAGAAAATCGGATAAACAGGTGAAATTGGTCGGGTTAACGGGTCACTCGTTTTTTTTTTGTAAAAAAAACTAAATGATGTTGTTTTGTCCTATATATTTTTTTTCTTTGTTTAGTTGAACACAAATACACACAAAAATGTGAAAAGAAAAAGTTTTGTGTACTTTGGTGGTATTTTCTTTTAACTGCAGTTTTCGTTCTCGTAACTGTCATTTTCAGTCACTACCTTTGAGTGTCTCCTTGTGTCACCTTGCTACTATCACAATATATTACTATCATCAGTATAATTGTTCATGGAAACAAAACATGTAAGAATCACAATCTCTTCATTTTGAAAATTAATTTCATAAAATAATTTTGGAGATGTCACACTATAAATGAATAATATTTTTGGAGGGATTTTGAGTGCATGTTTCATGAAACTAAATTTGGGATTTTACAAAATTAGGTTTTTTTAAAATTGTGATTTTCTAAAATTGTGATGGTTTCTAAAATTTGATATTAATAATAAAATTGATATTGATGAATGTATAGAGAACTAAGTGGATTGAGTTATCCTTAGTTCTATAATCATGTTTTAAAAAAATAAAATGTATAAAATTTGAAGTTAGATATAATGAAAGATATGATACAAATTTTTTTCTTTAATTATTTTCATATTAGGTGTAATGACAATCTTATTTTCTCTCTAATTATTTTATATTTAATTTTTGGTAATATGTTTATCCATATTATTTTTCATTTATATATTCTATAAACCATTCCTATTATATAATACTTTTTCAAATAATATTTATATTAAATTAAAATTGTTATTATATTATAATAAACATATTTTAAGTTTAATATATTATTATATTAGTAAAATATATTATTTTATTAAATTCATTTGAATTTTAATTTAATCATCAATTAACCTTAAAGACATTCTTTCACCGATTGGTTTTAAGAACAATGCTTAAATAATTAAAAAACGCATTCTATACTTTATTTAATACGAATGAGTTGTCAAAAATATTAATTATTTTTTATGATGCATGAATACTTGGTGTACAAGTTTATTGCAATGTACTTGCACCCCAAGTTCAACTCCGAGCCAAATCAAACACTGTATAAATAGGCATAGGAAAATCCATCATCTCCCATCATTTTTTTTTTCAATTTTCTTAGCCCACTCTTCCAGGGATCAAAGATGAAGAGAGAGGGTCGTCAACATGGTATGGTGAGGTCTTATCCGATCCTACCAGACCCATTTAACCCGAGACCCAATACCCGAATCGTCACCCGGTTTGATTCTCCTCCCACTGCTGGATTATTTGTAAAGGTGTCATCAAAGCCAAGCAATCACTCCAAGTTCACGGGCAAGTGTGGGACACCACGTTGCACCGGTTGCCACTTCCACCCACCTTGCAAGTCCAAGGGCAAAACCAAAGGCTCTCAAAAACACAAACATTCTCGGGTCGTAGATCAACCCGATTCAAGTTTCTTTGGGTTGTCCGCAACACAGACACTTGACCATATTTCTAATGATTACACGGACCATGAAGGCAGCGAAGATGATTGTGATTGGGACGAGAAGGATGATAACAAATGCACTTCTGAAATGGGGGTTTCATTTCAGATGGATCAAGTTCAGGAAATAAAAGAAGATGAAGATTGGTTTTTGGTGGAATCTTCTTGATTCACGATGTTGTTGCTGTTTGAATTGACGTTGTTGTTTAATTTATATTAGTCACTTGAAAGAATGAGTGAAGACGATGTATTTGGATTTGAAGAAATTGAATCCTAAAAGAATTGTAAATGATATTGAAGAATAAATTTTAAAATGATGAGATAAAAGAAAAATGGGAGATAGCAATCAAGTCAATAATAATAATATAAGAGAGTATGTATAACAATGAGAAAGGGAGAATCTATTTGTTTGTAGATAATGACAACGTTCGATTTATATGGTTTTTACCAACTTATTTAAATAACAAATAATATATTTTTAAAACATAATTATATTAATTAATTTGGTGTTTCAGATAACTGTGCTTTTTTTATTTGTTTGAATTGATACCGAATATCTATCAATTTAATAGAATAAAATTACAAGAATTTTTTTATTTTATCCAATCTACAATACACTAAATAGGCTTGATATGTTTGATATGTAGCTACAGCCAAGACATGCTCAACCTATGAATTTAAATTTTTTTAAAGATAATACGTAACTATTTTGAGACATGTTGTAGTCATGAAATTAAGACAATATCTAACACGAATTTATGCAAAATTTTATCCGGTAAAAATATTTTATTTTATGATTAAAATAATCCTAAAACACATAAATCCAGTGTTATTCTGCACCAAGTGTACATAGGTCCATGCAAACAGCACCATCCTCCAAACTCTCCCATTCCTCATAACATAGGCAAATACTATTCAGAACATTGATTGGCATGATTTGAAAAAAAGAAAAAATTAAAAATTGGAGCTTTTCTTTTAATGTACAATGGATGTTTAATTTAATTAAACTCAATAATAATTTTCATTTTAACTTTGTAATTTTTAAGGAACATTTAAGCTAAAACCATTGAATTGATGTTTTTCGGTGATTTTTTTTTCTTTTTAAGCTTTCATTCTAATAACATTTACAAAAATTTTGATGATGAAAAATGCTTGGTTATAAAATATAAAAATTTATTGTGCTACTTTATTTTATTCTATAATATGATTTTAAAATATAAATAAAAGATTATTATTATTATTATTATTATATTTGGTTACTTTGAGTTAGGTTTTGTAAAAATAAATTTAATATGAACTAAACTTGCAGTATCTACCTATTATAGGACAAAAATAATAAATCAGTACAAAAATTCAAACAAAATTATATGAACTAAAAAAAACTTAAAAAATCGATTTATTACCTAGAAAAAAATATATTACAAATATAATATATTATATAAAAATAATTGTGCATTTAGAAATTTTATATATATATATATATATATATATATATATATATATATATATATATATATATATATATATATATATATATATATACGTGTGTGGGTGTGAGAGAGAGAAGAGATTATTAATAATCAGAAGCATTATCTTAAATTGAGGTAATAAAAAAAATTATGATTAAGAGTATTGGATACAAAGGTAAAAACTCATTAATAAGTATATATATAGTTAAGATTGTAAGTTAAATTAACACTCTTGTCCACTCATCATTTCAGGTAAAAACTAATTTATGTTGAAATGTTTTTCACATTATTCCATGTACCCTACATATCAAGAAGAGAGAATTATACACGTGAAAAAAACACCCTATAATTTAGGTATAATACTCATTCATTAACCCATTTACATATGGAATAAGTGTACAGCCCCAAAATATCCGTATTATATATAAAAGGATATAAATACAATCTATACTATGTCAAAAAAGTCCGTATTATATATTAAAATTTACAAATACAAATACAATCTATACTATGTCGAAAAGTAAAACAACGAAAAAAAATTATCATAATTTTATTTCTAGATCTAATTTTTTCTAAAGTCTATCATGTATATAATCGGTCTTTTATAAACACATCATTATCACAATTTAAAATAAGAAGGTAAACTAATAATTTAATTTAAGTATATAAAATTTAAATATAATATAAAACAACACAATACAAATCTAAGTTTTCAAAGATAACACTACACTCATACTACACTCATACAGGTACACTAACACATCACACAAAAATAAAAACACGCTACAATCTCCTAAGTGTTTGATATAAGAATACTCAATTTAGTATATAAACTCACGTGTGATTAGGATAAATTCTAAATGATTTCTCTAGACATAATTTTTTTTTACCTGAAATTAAAACTCTTTTTCAACTCTCATCACTTGATTATTTAATCTATATAATTCTAGTGATAATCAATAAAGTATTTAAATTAACATATTCTCTCTCTCTCTCTCTCTCTCTCTCTCTCTCTATATATATATATATATATATATATATATATATATATATATATATATATATATATATATATATATGAAAACAACTAATTGAACTTTAAAGCACTAAGGTGTGGTACCGAAGATTTAGTCATATAAGTAAAAAATGACTTAATTATTTAACTAAAAATGATATATTTTTAGGATTGAAGAGTGTAGAGTTGGAAAAATATTTTCATTGCATGGTTAGTAAATAAACCAGAGTATCATTTTAGAAGCATCGTCCTTAAAGAAAGTTAGAATTTCTTAAATTGGTGAATTCTGATGTCTGTGGCCCATTAAAGGTAAAGTCGTTTAATGTTGTACTTTACTTTGGTACTTTTATTCATTATTATTCTAGGAAGCTATAGTATATGGGCTACAAAGAACATATCAAGTACTTGAAAAGTTCAAAGAATTTCATGTTTTTGACAATCAATTAAGAAACTTAAATGTATTCATACTGATAATGATGGTGAGTATTGTGAACCCATTGATGTTTATTGTAAGCAGCAGGGTATCAAATATGAAAAGATTATTCCTAAAACTCCTTAGTTAAATGGTCTGGCAGAGAGGATGAATAAGACTATGGTAGAAAGAGTTAGATGTATGTTTTCTAAATCAAAGTTGCCTAAGCATTTTTTTTGAAGAGACATTGCTTGCAATCATACATGTTATTAATCTTAGTCAAGCAGTTGCTTTGAATACTGAGGTATCAAACAAAATATGGTTTGACAACAATGTTAACTATGATTATTTGTGGGTCTTTGGTTGCAAGGCATTTGTATGTGTTCAAAAGGATGAAAGATCTAAGTTAGATGCAAAGACAAGGCAGTGTATCTTTACTGGTTATGGTAAGGATGAATTTAGTTATAGGTTGTATGATTATGTTGAGAAAAAGCTAATAAGAAGTTCTTATGTGCAGTTCATAGAAGATCAAACCATTGAAGATATTGACAAGGTGGAAAAGACTACAATCGAGAAAAATAGTAATGTCATTGATGGTAATTCGATGTGGTTGGTTGTTCACAATATGGATAATGTTGAGCCTGGTGCTCAAAATAATGAGCAACATGGAGTAAAGGTTCCTATTAATGATGTTGAAGACGAATATGATATGGTACATAATGATGCAGCTAAATTAATATGAGTCCCTAATAGGAGGTCCAATAGGTTGATAAAACCATCTTTTAGGTATTTTTTTAATAAGTATGTAACTTTGATTGATGGTGGAGAACTTGAGTATTTTGAAGAAGCTTTAGAAAGTGAAGGAAAACAAAAATGGTTAAATGCAATGCAAGATTAGATAAAATATTTGCATGATAATCACACTTATCACTTGGTAAAATTGTCTAAGGGCAAAAGGGATTTAGAGAACTGGTACATTTTCATAGTGAAGCAAACGACTAATTCTACATCTCCAAGGTACAAAGCCAAATTAGTGCTGAAAGACTTTAGACGAAGAAAGGGTGTTGATTTCAATGAGATGTTCTCACATGTGGTGAAAATGTCATCCATTAGATCTGTGTTAAGTTTAGCTGCTACCCTTAATTTGGAGGTTCAGTAGATGGATTTGAAAATAGCTTTCATTCATGGTAATTTGGAGTAAGAGATTTACATGAAACCACTTGATTATTTTTTTTATTGAAGACAAGGAAGTTTATGTGTGTAGATTGAGAAAGAGTCTATATGGTTTGAAAAAAACTCAAAGACAGTGTTACAATAAGTTTGAGTCTTTTATGTGTGATCAAGATTACAAAACGACTACTTTTGATCATTATATTTTTGTTAGAAAGTTCTCTAATAATGACTTTATTATTCTATCATTAAATGTTGGTGACGTACTTATTGTTGGAAAAAATATTTTCAGAATTGAGAAGTTAAAGAAGAAATTAGGAGAGTCATTTTTCATGAAAGACATGAGAGTTGCTAAAAAGATTCTTGGCATATATCTTGCGTGGTAAAAGAGAAAAGAAGATTTAATTATCATAGGAACACTACATTAAGAAGGTACTGCAGAGATTCTGGATAAAAAATGCTAAAAAAGTTAACACTCATCTTACGACTCATTCTAAATTGAGTGTGAAACAAAATTCTTCAAATGAAGTTGAGAAGACATATATGAGTAGAGTTCCTTATGTATCTGCAGTTGTCAGTTTGATATATACAATGATATGTACTAAACCAAATATTACACATATTATTGTTATAATTAGTCAATTTTTATCCAATCCAGGTAGAGAGCATTGAAATATTGTGAAATGAAGTTGGAGGTATCTTCATAGTACTAGTGATTTGAAACTCTATTTTGGAGGTGATAAACCTATTTTGATAGGTTACTCAAACTCATATATGATTGGAGACATTGATTTTTTAAAGTCTACTTCGAATTATTTGATTAAGTTTGTAAGGGGAGTTATGGTTTGACAATCAAGATTACAAAAATGTGTAGCATTGTCTACTATAGAGGCAAAGTTCATTACCATAACAAAAGTTGTTATGATTGAAGAAATTCTTACAAGAGTTTGGTTTTGTACAGAACAACTTTCTATTATTTGTGGACAATCAGAGTGATATTCATCTTGGTAAGAATCCAACATTTCATTTTAGGTCCAAACATATTGATGTGAGGTATCATTGGATATATAATTTTTTGATGCTAAGTTATTGAAGTTAGATAA